ATTCAAAGGTAATGAAAATAAACTACCCTATGCCTTACTAGAGGGTAGGAAAAAATTGCTAAAATTAAAAAGCAAAAGAACCTCTTCTCATTACAAAGTAATGAGTAACGTCGGCACATCGAATGCGAGTCTGAGCCTTAAAATCAAAGGTACTGAGGAGTTCTAGACTCTTATACAAAAAAGTGGTTATAAAACTCTAAACTCATAGGTACAAAGGCACCTATGCTGGGTAAGTGTATCTTAGGTTCGAAGTCAAATAAAACATTTCTAAGGGAGCTACAGAAATTAAAAACTATCTAAGAGATCTGAGATGGATTTTTTGTTGGCCAAAAAATATTATATCCAGGTTTGCATAACAAGGCAATTTTAATCGAAATAGAAAAAATCTGGACATTGGTAGGATATTTAGTTCCTTGGCGTATAATAAATACAGCTCAATGAAATAACGATTTTGAACCCAATTTCTCCATTAGCCCCTCTGGCTGACTGGTACGGAAAATACGATTTGGTCAAATCCAACCGTCCCCATAAACAGTCAAACCTTGCGGAGCACGACAAATTATTATTAACGGATTCAGGTCTAATAATTTTTACATGAATTGCAAACAAACGAATTCCACCATAAGTTGAGAGTACCGCTTTAAATATCATTAGCCAACTAACGACCGAATTCCACCATAAGTTGAGAGCACCACTTTAAATATCCTCAGCCATATAACTACCTTTTGTATTATTTGATACGACCAAAATGGTTTTAGACCCTAGGACTCTTTGAACCAAATCTGTTTCAGATCTTTGGAGTCGATTTAGTGGGGTCTGTCCGTCTGTCTGGCTGGTTGGGTGATACGCACGATAACTTTCGAAAGGAGTATCCCATTTGGTCCAAACTTGGTACATCGTAATAAAATAGTTGAACTTAGATCGAATTTTCAGAGAAAATAATTTACCTCATGGAACAAGAAACGATCATCCGATATTGTTCAAACTATGTAAAACCTAATATTTGTGCCTTGGCTGGGGCTGGTGTGAAAATACATAATATAGGCCCACTCCATGTAGTACCTTCCTCACAAAGGGTCAAAATGTTGAATAATCTCAACGCCTATAAAATGTGAAATAAGTGTCCATTTGCCCTGAAATTTTGCATATCAAAAATATTTCTAATAACTCTAGGTCTGCCATGACGATGGTATAGGTCAGACTACTCCTTCTGATACCGTCCACACAACTAATCAAAATTTTAAATAACCATGAAAAGATGGTAGAGGTCGGCCATTTCTTCTGATACCTCCCCACAAAGTGTCAAAATTTTAAATAACCAAAACGAGCATAAAATCCTTATTTAACATACGGTTCTCTTCATATTTCACACAACACAAAATCTGCTGTGAAGATGGGATATATCGGTCGAATCCTTCTGGCACTTCTCCTTTCAATATCCATGGAACAAATAAAACACGAAATTAACAACCGATTCCATTTAGACTTGGCACATCTCAATATATCTATTAACACAAGGTCTGTTATAATGATGATAGAGATCGGTCCATTTCTTCTGATACCTCTCCGGTAAAGGTTTCAAAATTTTGAAAAACAAAACACTCAAAAAAAGCAAAATAAGCTTCCAACTCTCTTCAAATTTAACTCATCCAAACAAATTTGCTAACGCAAAATCTGATGGGAAGATGATAGATATCTGCCACACGCTTCTGGTACCTCACCCACAAAGGGTCACAATTTTCAATATTTGAATCAGTCGTAACTTGCGAACCATGTCAGCGAGTCTTTCTCTCAACGCAGAAACCTGAGATGAATATGGAATTGATGATTCCGCATAAAATTGGATAAAAAATCTTCCATTTTTCCATACCAATATTTTTATCTGTATTTGATGAAGTGTGAAAATGGAAAACTTCGGTCGACCATATCTGGGTACCGCACGCACATCTTAATACGAGTATATTCTAAAAATTATCACATATCTCATATTTAGGTCCGATACGAAATGGACAATATTTTCCCATTCCTTCGAAACCTACTTCATATTTATTCATATTTCATATTTAAATATTTAAATAATCGGACATTGGCTGAAGGTGTATATCTGTCGGCAAAACCGACTGCTATTTTTAACTTCTTTAAATCGAATTTAGCCGAGTATTGTAGCTCAAACTTGTTACTGCCTTTTAATGATACATGCGAAATTTTCAGATTCTAGATCTAAAATTTATATATTTTAGGTTCAAAACCCTGCGTACGCACCAATGTTGTACAACAGCAAAGTTTAATGATTTTGACTTTTGAAATTTCGACTGGGGCACAGCTCTGGGCTAGCAAAAACTCGCAGTCTTCTTGAAACATTTTCCAGAGTTTGTTGTTATTGCTTGATTTTGGGATATTATGTGCGATACTATACGTTTTGGGGGAATCTTATGGACTTGAGTACCTGGGGTCCCATAAAGGAACAGTTTTAAATGGTCACACAAAAGGGGTTTTCCCCGGCATTGAGTTGTGGAAAACAATAGATTTAAATTAAAGGTAAATCTTCAAAATTGCCGATTTAAAAAAATCGCCCAGTCTACGAAACCTAAATTTGAAAGTTGAATTTCTTGCGTTTGGGACCGGGATATTTTAAATGCGATCTCTTGACCAAATTTGTGCATTTTTTTTTTTTTTTTTTTTTTTGTCATAACGTAATTTGAACCTCAAGAACCTAACATTAAGCTTTTGCTTTAGAGAGTCAAATCTCGGTAATTATGGACCTTCACAAGAAGAAGAAGAAGAAAAATCATACATTTGTGATTGGGGTGACAAAAATTACTTATAATAAAATTTTCACACTAAACCATGACTTTAGCCAAAATGTGTCCCAAATTTGCCTACCTATAATTTTTATTTTCAAGATATCTCTTAAAATTATTTCTTTAAATATTAAACCAAAAATATTGTGACACAAACTTATGCTACACACTGTAATATATTCTAAATGTATCTCTCTCTTTTATTACTCACCTTTTTTCTAAATTGAATAAAAGCGCCAACTAGCCAAAGGGCCAACAAAACAAGTATCTCGAAAAAAAAAGTATCTTTTTTGGCTGTCGTCGATTTCAAAATATCAAAACATTCTGTTCTGTTTGTGAAATATGTATTTCGGGGTTTGTTGTGGTGTTGGTATTGGCGGGCGGTACGCAGGCAGACAGGCACATGGAATGCCTACTTTATTTCGCAGAATTACGACAGATGAACGTGGATGGATGGACGAAAAATGACATCACGAATAAAATTTTTATATACACAAATAAGCACACACACAAACACACTCAAATAAGACCACTCAAGCAACCACCATAAGTGGCAGTAGCAAAAACAACAACAACAATCACCATCATCATCATCATGGCACAAAACACTGCTCATCAAAACATTTATTTTGAAGTGGCTGAAACAGAAGGCAAAACCACATTTATTGGGGAGTGCATGCGCCAAAAGTTTGAATAAGGAGTGAAGAATTAGAGTTAAGTAAAAGAATTTTGATTTCTATTTGGCATTTCTTGGATTTATTTATTTAAGAAAAGTGTTTTTTATTTATTTTCTCGCAGCAAAAAGTGATTTTGTTTGGTTACTTTTCAACTCCCCCTTGAGAAATTAATTTGAGAGTAACCATTCATTTGCTCAGAGAGGCTTAAAAACACACCATATCAGACACAGTTAAGTTGGTTTGTTTTGCTGTGTTGTTATTGCCTTGGTTGAGGTGAGGTTGGCATTACCTCATTTATAACAGGGAGAGATAGAGAGAGAGAGCTCACAAAGCCATGCTCAGGTGAGAATTTGATATTAAATGGGGGAGCTAGATAAAGAGGAAGAGCGTAATAGATACCAACCACCTTAACTGACTCTGTGTGTGTGTGGTGAAGAGCTCTCCTCCAACAAACTAACTGGGAGTTGGACAACAACACGAATAACTACGTTAATGTTCGTTGTCTCTTCCTCTTCTTTGTGGAAAAATTAAAGTCTTGTTTTTTTTTTACTTGAAATTTCAAATGAAGATTTTTTGTTGTTGTTGTTGCTAACTCTTTAATTTTTTTTTGTTGTAAAATAACGATGATGATGACGAAGATATTTAAGAATTGTTTTTGTTTTCATGGAGTTGTTGTTGCTGTTTTCGTTGCCATTAAAGAATGGTTGGTTGGTTGGTTGGCTTTCAGGCTGCTGTTGTTGTTCACGGATTTGTTTTGAGGTGAAGTCGAGTTTTTTTTTTGTTTGTTGTTGTTTTTGTAGAGTAGTTGATTATTATAACAGTAGCGGCGGGTAGAGGAGCAGTTTTTTTTATGGAAGAGTACAGCCACCTTGTTTCAAGTTAAATTTATTTTTATTTTATTTTTTTTTTCAGCAAACGAGGTTCTTTGAATTGTCTTTCATATTTTTGGTACAAACATTTATTTTTAGAATTTTTTTTTTGTGAATTTTTCTTTTGCTATTTGTTTGTGTCACCAAAAAATAAAATTCTCTCAAAACTTTTTCACAATTCATTGAATATTTAGTTTTATTTTCGTATGTTGCTTCATCTTGATTTTCTCATAATTTATTAAATAAATTTTGGGTGCGGCGGCATTTAACTATGGTTGTGGGCCACGCTGTTCACACAGTGGAGAGGCGCGGAGAAGCATTCATTCACATCATCATCACATAGTTAACAACAATTCATATGATTATTTGTTGGTTTAATTAAGACAATTCCAATTTAATATTAATCCCATCAAAAAAAATAGTATTCCGCATAGGCAGCCTCTGGCTTGAGTTGAGGCGCGCTCCCGACACTCACAAGGCAACAGAAAAAAACTACATGCCATGAAAATCATATATACAAACAGATTTTCTCATCAACTTTTTTCTTTAACGTCAAAAACGAAAATATTTTCTTTATACTTTTTTCCCAGTTTACTTTATAAGATATTTGTTACTGTTGCCTTTTTATTAATAAATTTTAAATAATAATTTACTTTTCTTTTTCCCAACTCTGCCACTCACAACAGAAACTATTCTTTATTTCTATCTATCTTCGCGCAGCAATGAAATAAACGAACCAAATCGTATCGAAAATCAAACGTACACTAAACAAGAAAGCGCCGCCGACACGGACAACAACGACAGACACTCACACACACGTTTCCTTCTCACGTCCAACTATTCTATCCGCAATAGGGGACGCACACACAACCAACGCGTTCGACGTAACGTTTACAAATGATGTTGTGGTGGTGCTCAACAACTTTTCAACATTGGATTTTAAGTTGCTGTGGTGAATTTGGGTGATGATGGCTGGGGGAAGCTTACGCTCATGCTCTCTCTCTCACATTTGGTTGAGTACAGTGACATAGACAAATGAAAATATAGACAACGAAAAGTTAGTTTTGTCTTTTTTTCTAGATGGCTCTCATCATGTTTTGCATAGTCAACATGCTGATTTACGCGTTCAAGCCACTCGACTTCGAAAACACATTTTATCGTTTTTCAAGAATTTCACTGGAATATTCCCATATTTTTCGATGTCATCACGTACTTTTCACATTTCTTTTATTATGAAATAATTTTCAGCTGACAAATATCCTACAGTTTTTGTTATTTTTAACATTTTTGAATTGAGTGACTTCAAAATTCCCACTCAAACCCCTGAAACGATATGGACGACATCTGCAGATCCGATTTTTTTCGAAGATAAACGGTGAGAGCATTTCGTTGTCTATATTTTCATTTGTCTATTACAGTGATGGTATTTGTTCTCTCATTTGTGTTAGTAGAGATGGCAAAAAATGTTGATGGGTACATTATTTTGTGAGGGAAGTTTGTATTGTAAATTACACTGTGATTACACTGTGCAACGAAATTTAATTTTTTCAATAAATAAAGGGAACATCCGGCATATTATGTAAGTAAAACTAAAAATAGAAGATATAAATAAATTATGTCTTCAGAAATATTACAGATAATAATACGAGTAATATTTTCTGTCAAACTTGTTAACCCACAAGCGAGACAGAAAAGGATTTTATTTGATTTTTTTTAATTATGGTAAAAAATTGAAAAATTTCAGATTACATTAATACGACAACACTATTTCGAACTGCGTCTAACTTCACGCGATTTTTGAAAAAATGCATTTGGGGAAGTCCCTAAAAGCTAATTTATCATAAATTTGCTGTGTAATTTACTGGCGTAAATATTAAATAAAAAAACAAGTTAAAAAGCAGTAATTTCGGCCAGACCGAACTTTGAATACCCTCCACCATTTAAAACGAATTTGGAAATTTTCAAAAAAAAAAAAAAAAATAAAATCCGTTAAAAATTCTGTTAAAATTTTAAAAATACCGAATATAGCCGTTATATTGTGTTCTATATGACGTGGACCTACATAGGCATTGTTTGTTATAAGCCATTACCATATTCAAATTCGCAACTTGAAATAAACGGTGAATAATGTAGCTAAAATCATCAAAATATCGTGTATAGGGAGGTGCCGTTATATGGGGGCTATATGAAGACGGGGGCCTTCATAGACAATTTTCTGTCACAGGCATCCATCACAGCATCCATTACGAACTTCAAATACGACATTTCAAACAATTTTGGTAACTATTGTACCTAAAATCGTCAAAATACCGAATATAGGGATCAATACCTCCCTATATGGGGCCTATACAAAGACCTGGACAATAGACAATTTTCTGTCACAGACTGTACTTCCCATTACGAACTCTAAATACGTAATTTGAAACTACTCCGGGGAATAATGACGCTAAATTTATCATATTACCGAATATTGGTAGGGGACCATACGAAGACGTTGACCTGCACAGACAATTTTCTGTCTTCAGCTGTAGTATCCATTACGAACTTCAAATATCAAATTTGAAACAATTCCGATGAATAATTTCGCTAAAATCATCAAAATGCCGAATATCGGGAGGTACCTTTATATGGGGGCTATGCCAAAACGTGGACCTACATGGCCCATTCTCAATGCCAAAAGTCCTGCAGACTTAATATACATTTGAGTAAAATTTTATCAATCTATATCAAGAAGGATCCAATTTTGAGTGCACCGAAGCTAGCAAAAAATGCTGAAAAGGATTTGGGAAAAGTATGTTGCCCTCAAAGAATAAGAAATATACTGCATAAGTCGAATTACAAGAGGAAGAAGAGCATAAACCTCTAATCAGCAAGCGAAACCAAGAAATAAGATTGCGATTTGCCAAGAAGCACATATGAGAGATTTTTTATTTTGCTAGAATGTGTTGTTCACGGACGAGAGCAAATCCAAACTTTTTTGGTTTAGATGGCAGACCTTATGTATGGAGAAGAGCTCCAAAAATATGAATCACGATGGTGGCTCAGTAATGGTGTGGGGTTCATATTATACTGAGGGTATTATGGATCAGACTATGTACCTTTACATTTTGAAAGAAAGTTTGCCACTCTTTAAGGAAAAGCTCGGCCTTGGCGAAGAATATTATACCCTACACCACTAGGTGGTCAGGGTATTATGTCTTTGTGCATTTGTTTGGAACAGGCAAAAGGAAACGAGATAGACCCATAGTTTCTTTTGATGATCTGCATAGAATCACATTCTGAGTCGATTTATGCTTGTCCGTCCGTCCGTCCGTCTGTACGTCTGTCCATCTGTCCATATACTTTTGTAAACAAAGTACAGTTCGCATTTATTGCCCTATCCAGATGAAATTTTGCACAAATCATTTGTTTGGCCCAAGGACGAATCCTATTGAAATTGGAGATAATCGGTCAAAATTTAGATATAGCTCCCATATATATCTTCGTCCGATTTGCCTTTTATTGTGCACCAAACCAAATATCAGTCCGAATAGTATGGAATTTTGCACGTACGATCAGATTGGACCTGAAAATAAGTATGCCAAATTTGATTGAAATCGGTTCAGATATAACTATAGCTCCCATATATATTGTTCATCCGATTTGTTATTTTTGTCCTCCGCAGCCGTAATATGCACTCTGTAACAACAATATTTGGGGAAATATATCAAATACAGCTCAGAACATTTGCTAAATTTTATCGAGATCGGTTCAGCTCCCATATATAACTTCGTCCGATTTACCTTTTATTGTGCACCAAACGTCTAATATTTGCCCAAATTGGATGAAATTTGCCACTTACGACCGAATTGAGTCTAGAAGCCAAATTTGGTGAAGATCGGTTCAGATATAGCTATAGCTCTCGTATATATTGTTCATCCGATTTGTCATATTTGTTACCAACAGCCCTAATATGCACTCCGTAACAACGATATTCAGGAAAACATATCAAATACAGCTCAGAAATATCTTTGCCAAATTTTATCGAGATCGGTTCAGATTTGGATATAGCTCCCATATATATTTTTATCCGATTTCAATTTAACATACCGCGTTTTAAGCGTCAGTCCAAGCAGATTTTTACCATTAACCAATACACGCCACGCGAGGGCTCTGAAATTTACATTCGACGAAGAAGTCAATTGGCGATCGGCGAGAATATCGCTGCCGTAAGAGCCAGTGTTTGAGAGGTCCCCCAGGAACATCCCAAAAACGCCGTTCTCAGAAGTTGGGCATGGCTCGGTTCACTTTACAACGGATTATTCGCATTGATTTGCATTTGTTCCCGTACAAAATTCAATTGACGCAAAGAATGTTGCCTGCGGACAAGCCTCGTTGATTGGAATTTGCCCAAAAGGGCCCAAAGGTCCGTCGAATACGGGCAACCCTGTATAAGTCCGAATTTAAAAGATACAAATGCTAAAGTCCTTTGAACTTTAAATTACAATTGTAATCATAGCGTGTATGATTGAATTCTCCCATAAAAACTTGTAATTGTTATGCGCAGCTCTACTAAATTAGCAAAGTGGTGTAGGGTATCATAAAGTCGGCCCCGCCCGACAATCAAGACAATGATCCGACAGATTTATTCATTTTCTTTGACGATTGCCACACGCAACAATATAAGTTTCTACTTTAAAATAATGTAGTTGCAATTGAACTAACGTTAAATCACACAAGGTCGTTCATAGATGTCAGTGTTCTTGGATGGTTCTTGAACAAGATAGCCCATGTTTATTAAACGGCGAATGGTAATGCAGTGCATCGTTTTTAATTTTGAAATTTTGTCGATATTTTTTTAGTTTTTAGTATTTTATATAGATGGCGCTGACCTAATTAGTTAGTTTTTATATCCTCCCCCATAGTATGGGCGGAATATCTAGCTTCCGAACGAGCGCACAGAGGGGTGAAATCACAAAACACGGAGATTAATTGAAAAATGAAATCCGTCTTTTGGAATAAATGTTTTTAAACTAAATTCTACTTCAGTACCGAAAATTTCAAAGTCATACGTTGTTTAGTTTTTTTAATTACACAGTGGCAAAGTTAAGAAATATTTCACTTTTTCGCAAGAAGGAGGAAAAAATTTGTCTTTGGTTTTATTTGAAGTGCAATAATTTCCATCAAAAGTTATTATTTTAAAATTGAAACATCGAATACAGGTAGTTATCAGGGTTCAAAATATTACCAAATTTTCGCCATATCCGAAAAGTATGTGGAGTTTTTAAAAAAAATATCGAGGTCTAAAAATTTTAATTTTTTTTAAGTATGGAATGTCATCTTTCCTCATAAAAATATGTAGTATTTTTGTCTTCAGATTTAGAAGGTTTTACAAAGGATACATTATTTTTTCTGGCTTAACTCAAATTTCAGATTTATATAGGCAATTTTTATAATATTTCCATCTATCCAGAAAACAAAACACCAAATAATAAGTTTTTAAAAAGCTCTGTCTGAAACCCGCAAAATACCTAATATTAGGAAGTACCATTATATATTTTGCAGAGAGAAATTTCCAAAATACATAAAATTTGGAACTGCCGCTATATACGGTCAATACTTAATAGTGGATTTATCTTCACAAAAACTTAGCAGGGAGAGATTTTGTCCACTCAGAACTCAAAATGTCAAGATACTCATGATTGCGTTTGAAATTATGGCCGAAACCTTCAACATACCAAAAAATCAGGAAGTAACACTTTATAGGGGCCTTACCGAAACGTGGGCCGATATGTCCCATTTTTAATGCCAAACATATTAGAGGTAATATGAATGTCTGAGCAAAATTTCAGAGCGATAGAATGCTTCCCTGAATTAATCTCCGTTTTTGGGCATCTCACCCCACTGTGGAACGTCTTTTTTACTAAGTTTAAAAAATATTTCAATCTCAATTTCAATTTTGAATATAATCTTGTATTGTTATTTACATAAAGAAACATTTCAATATCAAAACTGAAATATTTATAGGTTTAGGAGTCGATGTTACTGTATGAAAGATGAGGTGTAGCATACTGCTTCAAATAGGCCGAATAAAATTATTTTTTTAATTTTCAACAACTAACATTTAGGGGAAATAAAATGATTTTTTTTGGACTTATCATTACTGATGTAATTGAAATATTTATTATTTTTTTATTTTTGTAAAATATTTATTTTAAATTAAATACCATTACAATAATATGGTTCATTTTTGTGAATATTCATTTGTTTAATTCTTAAATGTTTTTATTTTATTTATTTTTTTTTAATTCTACTAATCATAAATTACTGTATGTCCACATACATAGTCTGGGATGACTTGTTCTTTTTATAAATTTAAAGGGGAAAACCAGGGCAATTTGGATTTTTTTGAAATATATTTTCCTTAGGTTAGATTAAACTAACCTCAATATTTTTTTTACAAATTCAAAATTTTAATTTTATACTTAATTATAATGGAGTTACAATGAATGACAATATTATTTTAGAATATATAAATTTCATTTATTTTCCAATTAAATATTTACATGTATGTTTTTTTTTAATATTTAAAAAACGATTTTGGTATATTTTAAACATCTTAGGAAAAAGTAGAAAAAATAAAAAATAATGACTTGAATTTGGTAAGAATGTTTTGTTGTGATGACATAGGAATTAAAACACAAGATGGAAGTTTTACAACTATTATTAAAAAATGTACAAAAAAATATTCTTAAAAAAATTAACAAGAAACTAAAACACACAAATCTTAAAAAAAAGCCTCACACTAAAAATTAAGGTTTGTCTTTTTTCTGTGGGTTTTTTTTTCATTTGTGATTTTTTTTTTGCCTTTGTAATAATTTATACTTAAATCTAGTAATTACTTTATTGTATATATGGTTTTATAATTTATAATTAAGTATAAATTTAATTATCAATATTGTTGTTTTTTTTTTCTTTAAACATATTTTATTTTTATAAAACTTAATTGTCATACTTTTAGAAAATTATTTTTGTTTTTGCTTAATTGTAAAAAAATTCACTAGACATGTAATTTGTTTATGTACACAGGAAGGAATGGTAGTGGGGAGGAATTGTGACCAATGAACGCTAACAAAACTGTTTTTTTTTTTTCTAAGCTTTTATGACTTTGTGCCGGTTTTTTGTTTTTTTGTAGACTTTGGCTTTACATTTTCAATTTGTTGCAAAGTATTCCTTTAAGTCATTTCATGAAAACTGTTTAATTCCTTATTTCTTGGATTTTGTATGACTCTGTGATTTTTGTAGCGGTCTTCGTCCCATTGTTTTGGTAGTTTTCTCTCACATCTGCGGCCGTGTCCAGAGTTCACTCAAGTCTTTGGGTCGCAATTTACCAATGTCTGGAAAATAAAAAAGACACAAATTTTTAATAAATATTAATTTTTAATTAATTTAATGAACATTAGTAAAAAAATGTATTTTTCAACTCATGAGATAATTTAAAAAAAATCTTGTCTATATATCAAAATGTAGATCAATTTTGGTGAGCCCAAATTTGAAACAGGGTAAATGTGACAAGGATTATCAAAATAACGAATATCGATGGGTATCGTTACATGTGCGCTATAGGAAAACGTGAACCTAAATTTTCAATGCTCTGCCACGACAGCTAGAACACATTATGAACTACAAATACCAATTTTTAGACAAATACGTGGAAAAATGTGGACAAAATCATAAAAATACCGAAATCGGGAGGTACCATATGGGGGCTATAACAGAACATGGACCCATATTTACTATGTTTCCCCACCGGAGCTAGAACCCATTACGAACTACAAATACCAATTTTTAGACAAATCCGTGAAATCATTTTCAATACAATTAATGATAAAATACAAATTGTTCTGCCAAATTTTGAAGCGCTACGTCAAATATTGTGGGCTGTATCGTGATTTCAACAGACAGAGGGACATCGTTAAATCGAAGTAGAATTTTCTGCTGATCGTGAATATATATATGGGGAATGACAAAGATAATATACCCGACCCGGAATGACAAAGTTAATATACCCTCCTTTTCAAGATGGAGGTTATAAAAATAGAAGACAAGCGTTTTGAAAGACTAGATCGAAAAATTCTAACATCGGGGTGAGTTCCGACCTCCTACATTTTTTTGAAAGTTTCGCATTTAGAATCTTTGGAATCCATTTATTATAGGTATTAGTTTCTTCGGCAATAATAATGATAAACTCGTATTATTTTCGACGATTTTTCAAATTATGGTTAAAAACTCCCTTTAAACGGGATCGTAGGAACTTCAAATATTCTACAAAATTATTTATCACGACATACTACTATGGGTTCAAGAATAAATCAAAACTGCAAAGCTTATCTAAACGCCAGGAATTCATGAATATTAAAAACACATTTTAGAGTTCAAGCCGTACTTCATGTCAGTTTATGCAAAATTCTCCTACAAAGAATCAAGTTAGAAGGATGTCGTCAAAGACAAAAATATTCCTCATCAAATTTCGTCATAGGTCTCCAAAGAAAACAATTCTCCAATTCCATTGTATATACAAAAAATATTTACATCAATTCTGAAAAAATGGCGAAAAATTATTATAAATTCTTGATCAATTTTTCCGTCGGTAATTTTTCAAGTTGATGCATGAAAGTAACATCAAATTTCGTTTTACGCCAATAGTGTCAAAAGAAGAAATATTCTACACAAAATTTCACTATAAATCTCAAAATAAATTATCTATCTAGGTTTTAGAGTTTTGAAGAAAATTGCATTTGTAAATTCTATATTGAAAGTGAAAATTATTTGTTTCCTTTTTTTGCCCGTAATTTTATACGTTTCTTATATGAATTAAAATTTCCCAGAATATATAATTATTTGGGAAAAGTGTTAGAGGAAGAAATATTCTAGATAAAATTTTAGTGTGAGTTTCAGAATAAAACACATATGCAAGTTTGATATTTACCATAAAAATATAATTAATTTTGGTTTATAAAACAACCTTTCTATTTCGAGCATTTTTTCCAAATTACCCGCTAGTTATTTGGTTTGTGGATCAAAAGTGAAAGCATGTTTCGGGTTCTTAGGCCTTCATATGGACCAACAAACGTTGTATTACTTTAAGATACAATCCTTTTCAAAATGGGTCATGTAAGTCCACTTTTTGGTATGGTCTCAAAATAAGTGTAAACCCCAATTTCAAGTATTTCTGAGTTTTTTTTTTTAAATTTTGTAAAATTTTGCTCTTTTTAAGTTTTTATTATGTAGACGCACTACTACAAGTTATTGGGACGTTCTTGGCCATATTTTCCAATAAATTTGGCTTTACATTACTTTTCAGCACTACAATGTTTTGTAGTAGTAGAGTAGCGCCTATATTTATTCTGAGGTTTTTGACTACATTTTCCAATCGAATTTGTAAAACATTTTTGGTTTTTTAGTGTAGAAAACCCTCGAACAGAAGGTATTTAAGTACATTTACGGAATAGTCTCCATATAACAGAACATCCCAAGTTCACGTTCCCACCCGATTTGGAATGGTGTCCTGAGTTATGTTGCTGTCAGAAAAGCAAAATTCGAAATGATTTGTCAATTCCCATATTATTTTTATTTATATTTTATGGACTTTTATGAATATAATAGTACGTTTATATATATGAGGGTTAACCCACTGGATTTGGATTTAAATTGTCATATCCATTACTTTTACTTCAAATAAATCCTCTCAAAGTAGGTTAACCCTACAAAAAGTTCTAACGTAAACATGGCATAAGTTTATATGAGGCCCCTTTTATTACACTTATATTATACATTTTCTGTCGAAATGGTTGCCATTCTTAAAGAAACCATAATAAATTTTTTCAGCCAAATCAATTGAAAAAGGGTCATGGAGATACCCTCGAAATAATTTAAAATCAGGGGGTATATCGATATTAGGGCTGTAACAAAATATGAACCTAAAATGACAATTTTTTTCCTATTCGCATTTCAGAGTAATAGAAACTCAAAATACCAAAATGTCAAATGTCAGTTCAGGCTCTATATTAAATGTGGGAAATGTGTCTTATAAAAATTGGGGTTCTTTTGTATATAATCAAAGCTATACAAATCCCTTAAAAAGTTTGCCATGAAAATTGGAAACTTTTTTTGAAATTTCGATCTACAAACAGAGCACTATCATTTTCCATAACCCAGATGGATGGTAAAATTATAAAAAAAATTTTAGCGAATTTGAAAACAGTGTCAAATTTGTCAAAAATTAAAAAAAAAAAGTTTTTTTATAAATAAAAATTCATGATATTTTATTAATGGTACACATTAAATATACGAATCCCTTGTGTTCAGAGAATCTCAATGAAATTTGATGCAGAATATTTTTGCCTTTGACAACGTTTGTCTGAAACTATGTTTCATATTACTTTCACGCATTGATTTGAAAAAAGAAAACAAAAAAGAAGAGAAAATGTTTTTCGGCAAACATGATATTGATATTTAGTTAATATAATATAAATATTGAGCTTATGTATTTGGTGACATTTAGTGAAATTTTATGTAGAATACTTTTCCTCGCTCTAAAATAATGTTTTATGGAACTATTTTGCATAAAATTTGACGGAAAGCGACTTTAACCTAATAATGTTATTCTTCAGATTTTTGCTATTACTACTGCCGGCGAAACTATACTCAACTCAACTCAAAAATTTTCAAAAAAGGAAAAGTGGGCGGAAATTTCTTGCCCAAATTCGGCTACCTCCCGCTAAGAATTTCGAAACGTCGATACACGTGTATCATATTTTTTGCTCGCCTTTCATAATCTTTTTGAAATTTTGGCAAAAAATAATTCTCTCGCATAGATTTTATTTTTATCATCGAATTTATGTTAGGTTCTAATAAGTGCATTACCGGTGGATGAAAATCCATCTTGGTACCATTTGTATAAATAGCCGGACCATCCAGAAGAGGCTCACCCCCAATGCAAGTGCCCCTACTGGGTATTAATATTAGAAGAAGATAAATTATTGTATAATAGGTCTAGTTTTCACAATAATTTGGATCATTAGGTTATCATACCGATCATCAGTCATTTTGGAGGCAGAAATATTATTGATACCACTTTGGTATTCCCTTCATGGTTACGGAACAAAATAATTCTGAGAGACCCTTTTCCGCAATTAAAAGTAGTCGTTTACATTATAGTGCTTATATTTCTGAAAATCGAAAAGTTCTTCGAATTCTGCAATTTTAATACGAATCCAGTCAAATATTACTGGTAATTATTTTGAGAAGTCACCCCCTTAATAAGACTCTGTATATAACCTCATATCTATTTTGGATTGAGTAAATATCATTTATTATCAATTTTTCTTACCCAATTGTCCCGGTTTTGGTGTCGGCCAAGCCATATCAAATCGATGCTGCATTATGGAACTTTGTGGTCTCATTGATGTGCTGCTACATTAAAGAAATCGCAAAAACCTATTAATATATAATTCGATGGGTGATAATTTCTACTAACCTGTAGGGATGTTTTAGACAACCATATACCTCTCGATAGCGACCATAGAGGGTTCCGTACGATACACCCAAAATGCGTGCCGCCTTCTTCATTTCAAGTCTTTTATTTTTGATGGCATCGAGGACCTAGAGATTAAAAACATTTTTAAGGTTGGAAGGGAACACGAATATACAAATCTTTATAAAAATTACAGAATTATAAGAACTTCTAATTGAAAACAATTTTTATCTGAAGAATTAAACAGTTCCAGTTTGAGCTTACTGAACGACAAAACATAATAAAGGAAAGGTCATATATATTATAAAAGAAAATCTTAAAATATAATTCCCGTGCATCGAAGTTCTGAAAGTTTACATCGCAAAGTAATCCGAATAAAGTGGGTACAAGTTCCATATTTTTTTTTAAATTTTTGGATTAAGATACATTTTAGGTATGGAGGTCCTTAGCAATATTATTAATAACAAGTAAAATAGTATCAGTCTGTTTTGCTAGCAGATATATACCCAGCCCTGATTATTCTAATTTTTGACTCTTTATGGGGAAGGTTCCGAAGCAGTTGGCCAATATTGACCAATTCGTATGTGACCTAAGACTGATAAAAATATTACAACGTCCAAGATTTGGACAATACCGACTACTTCCTATACTTTATATGAGATATGTGCAAATTTTTGGAAAATGTGGAAATATGTGAGAGGTAACAGATATAGCGGACCGAAGTATTCCATTTTCATACTTCATCTAATATAGATAAAAATATTGGTATGTGCAAAATTTGTAGGAAACCGAACATTCATATCCAATTTTATGCGAAATCAAAAATTCCATATTCACCTCAGGTTTCTGACTTGTTACGCAAGTTATGAGAGATATAAGTATTGAAAATGTTAACCCTTTGTGGGTGAGGTACCAGAAGAGGTTGGCTAATGTATATCATCTTCATAACAAAATATTTGGATGTGTGAAATTTGAAGAGAGTTAGGTGCTTATTTCACTTTCTTTGAGCGTTTGGTTTCTCCAGATCTTGAACCCTATGTGGGGGAGGTCCAATCTCTACCATCTTTATAACAGATCTTGTGTTGATGGAAATAATGAGATGTGCCAAGTCTGAATGGAATCTGATGTTAATTTCGCGTTTTAGGAGCTTCATAGATATTCAGAATTTTGACCCTTTGTGGGGGAGGTACCAGAAGGAGTGAACATATATTTCCCATCTTCACAGCAGATCTTGTGTTAGTATACATAATGGGATGTGTGAAATATCAAGAGAATCGAACGCTTATTTAAGATTTTATAATCGTTTCGGTTATGCTAAATTTTGATCCTTTGTGGGGGAGTTACCAGAAGGGATGGTTTGATCTCTACTATCTTCACCACAGATCTTGAATTGATAGAAATATTGAGATGTGCCAAGTCTGAATGGAGTCGGATGTTAATTTCGCGTTTTTATGAGCTTCATGGATATTCAAAATTTTGATCCTTTATGGGGGAGATACTAGAAGGAGTGGGCCGATATATCCCGTTTTCACACCAGACATCGGGTTAATACAAATGTTGTGATGCGTGTAATTTGAAGATAATTGGACTCTTACTTCACATTTTAAAAGAGTTATAGTTATTCCAAATGTTGACCATTTGTGGGGGAGGTACTTGATGGAGTGCAGCGATATTGTCCATTTTCGCACCTGACCTAGCACTGATGCAAATATTAGGATTCGCAAAGTTGAAACACAATTGGACTATCCTTTTTCTTTCTGTGCAGTAAATTATTTTCTTTGAACTTGTTGATATTTTGTGGGAGAGGTACCAAAAGGAGTGGAACGATATTGGCCATCTCCGAACTCGATCTAAGTATGGCAATAATATTACGATGTACCAAGTCTGGACCAAATCGGATACTCTGTTTGAGATTTATCGGATATCTGTTCGAGATTTTTGCTGAACCGGATTTGGTCCAAAGAGACCTAGAGTCTAAAATAGTTATTTCTATGAGGCAAAAGATATATACCCTCTCTGGCCACACGGCTGAGGGTATGACAAATGATTTATACCCCAGGTAGCCAAATGGCTAAGGATATACAAATGTTGTGGAGGAGGTTACTTTGCGATATTAACTATCAAAACGCCGATACAAATATCTTCTACTTTTAGCTCTACTCTCATAACCTACTGGGGTCTTCCTGTTATTATTTTTTTTTGTGTTGCCCAGTATTTTATGCAATTTTTAACTTCTGCATGGCTTAAATATTGACCTACCCTTCTCGTAAAGGGTTCCTCCCAAAATTGTGGCCGCCGACCCTTGGCAAGATAATCATCCATTTTTATGACATCCTGCCATTGGGACATTTCCTCGCTGGTCAAACGTAAATCGGCTTCATTATAATCGTCCATTTTAATGTCAACATATTCATCGGGATGATTACCGCCAGCCGAGCCGTTAGAAGCAGCCGCCGCTGCAGATGTGGGTATGCTGGCCGTTGGGGCGTGTATAAAATCATGAGTCATCAGAATACCATGTTCATTGATGAGATAACCTTCGGGGACATATTTGCCATAGTGATGTGACAGCGAATGGGGATGTAAAGAGGGGGCACCTGTGGGCGGAGGCGGTGCTGCAGCTGTATGATGTCCATGATGATTGGACACGACGGCTGTGGAGGTTGAGGCTGATGGTGAATTCGATGAGGAATGATGATGGGAATGATGATTTGTGGCATTTGCAGATGATGATGCCTTGTGAGCTGCCGTGGGGCCGTTGGGTGAAGATGCCGAGCCTGTGGAAGGTGAGGACGTGGAACTGGATGTGGAACCACTGCTTGTGGAGGATTTTTCCTTGGTTGTGTGATTATTCTTTTGTTGCTGTTGTGTTTCCATTTCTTCAACAGTCTGGGGAACTGTGGCCGCCACTGCATCGTCCTGGATAAATTCTTCATTTTGTTCGGTTTTGGGTGATTTCTGTGATTCATCTTTGGAATTTTTACGCCTTGGCTCTTTGTGTTGAGTAGCTTCGGGTGACGAATCACTGCAAGGTTTCTCTTTTTTAATGGTTATGGTTTCAGCGCTAGATGCGATGGCATCATTGTCATGGGGTAGGATTTTGGAATTGTCATCCTCATCATGATCATTGAGATCTTTTGTTGCCTTTTCGGCCTCCAATGAACTGGTTATCCATTCTGGTTCGGTTGCTGTCTCATCATCCGCCTGGGAGTTATCTCGACCCTTGTGTGGCTTGTAGCGAAGACGTTGTTTTTGTTGTTGTACATGATGTTGATAGGCCTCGGCGGCCGAGGGGGAATTGGGTCGGGAATGTTGGGTGTTGGTTGTAAGCTGATGATGTGGACGTTCATCGTTAAAATGTGATCCTCCCTCCATGTAGGGTGGCTGATCTCCCGGATCGGCATAATGGCCCAGTTTGCGCCTGAAAAAAAAAATTAAAAAGACGGGGTTATTATAAGGAACTCTCTCTCTCTTTAGGTGGTGAGTACTTACACATTAAACACATCATAGGAGTCATCTAATGGTGGCCGTCCCCGCTTACGTTTCGGCCCCAAATAGGCATCATTTGGTGACACCGCTGCCACCACAGAACCATTTGCGGCCGTTGACGATAGTATGGGTGTCAAAGTGGGTAAGCGTGCATTCATTGCAGTACCATGTTTGGGTGATGGTGTCTTTTGTTCCCTCTCCCCCGAGGGGCTATGAGATCTTGCTTGATGTGATGGCTCGTGACCATAATGGTCGTAGGGGTTCATATCACGACTTCGTGATGTTGTTGGTGAATAGAATTCTGTCTGTGGTGTGGGAGGCGGTGGCCCGTCTTCATCATCCCGCCATGTCACCTCGGCTAAACCTTTTATTTTGAGATCATCGGCTGTCTTGAGCAGGGATGCCAAATTGGCCTGGAATGGGGAAGAGAGTTAATTATTAATGGGAAATAAAAACAAGTAAAATAGTATCAGTTGGTTCTGCCGACATATGTACAGGGTGAGCTGAAAAAAACTGCAACAAAGTCAAACGCCATAATTTTTTCCATTTTTTTTTAAATTTCATTGAATGAAAGCAAAAAATGTCGGAAATAGCATCGAATTTTAGAATAAATTCAGATTTGTCCTTCAAACGGCCACATGCTGCCGAATATTGTTTTGAGGTATTTTGACCCATTCCCGGCGAAGCGCTTGCTTGAGGTGATCGACACTCTGGTATTTTTTAGGGCCAAACTTGCTTTTCAAAATACTCCAGACACAATAGTCCAACGGATTGGTATCCGAAGATTTTGGTGGACATTGTGCGCTGGAAACGGTAGATGTCGAGGAACCTCATTTTGTAACCATTCTTAAGTGACGCGTGCTGAGTGCGATGGTGCTGAGTCGTGTTGGAATGTCCAAGGTCTGCGGCCAAAATGTTCGGCATTTATTCTGATGCCAGGGTCGATTAATACGAGCGGAGAGCGACCATTCAAATACTCCAGACCCAATAGTCGAACGGATTGATATCCAGACACAACGGATTAGTGGCCATTGTGCGCTGGGAATGAAGCGAGGAATCTCATTTTGTAACTATTCTTGAGCGGCGCGTGCTGAGTGCGATGGTGCTGAGTTGAGTTGGAATGTCCAAGGTCTGCGACCAAAATGTTTGTGTGTCCAAGGCTTCAGTACACCCTCCAGAACATTTTCGCGATAATATTCGGCATTTATTCTGATGCCACGGTCGATAAATACGAGTGGAGAGCGACCATCGGCTGTTATGGCGGGCCACACAATCACCATGGCCGGCGCTTGAGTTCTGGTTGCCAAAGGTACCGAAGATGCACATTTTCAGCTGACCTCTTTGGCAAGTAAACACGAACATTTTGCTTGTTTGCAAACTGCTGGACATCGAATGTTTTCTCATCGGAGAAAACCATATTTGGCAGATTACCAATTTCGGATAAGCGAAGCAATTTTTTAGCTCTTCTGGGTCTATTGTCTTTCTATTGCGGTGTAAGTTCCTGCACTTTTTGGAATTTTAATGGCTTTACCCCGAGCTCATTTTTCAATATTTGCCGAATGGAATATTGCGATATGTTCAGCTCATGGGGAGATACCAGAAGGTTGTTGTCCGATCTCTACCATCTTTATAGCAGATCTTGTTTTGATGGAAGTATTGCCATGTGCCAAGTCTAAATAGAATCGGATGTTAATTTCGGGTTTTATGAGCTTCATGGATATTCAACATTTTGACACTTGGAGGGGGAGGTGGCCAACCGAAGGTACACATTTTCAGCTGACCTCTTTGGCAAGAAAACACGATCATTTTGTTTGTTTACAAACTGCTGGACATCGAATGTTTTTTCATCGGAGCGGAGAAAAACCAAATTCGGCAGTTCACCACTTTCGGCCAAGCGAAGCAACTCTTTAACTCTTTCGAGTCTGTTTTCTTTCTGTTGCGGTGTAAGTTCTTGCACTTTTTGGAATTTCAATGGTTTTACCCCGAGCTCATTTTTCAATATTTGCCGAATGGCATATTGCGATATGTTTAGCTCACGAGCCATTTTTCGGCAACTGCGACACGGGTTTCAATCAAGTCGCTTCTTTATTTTCGAACCATTTTTGCTGATGTTGCTGTTTTCTTCCGTCCACTTCCTTGACTTCCATGTCCGACTACGGTACCAGTATCACGGTAACGAGCGATGGTACGAGACTCAAAAGATTTATTCACATTTAAATGCTGGAGGGCTCTAACGATAACCACTTGTGGTTTTCCAGCCAAATATAAAAAAATCACACTATCCCGCTTGAATTCCATCACGTATAACTTTTTTTCTGGAAAATTCTCACCAAAATGCTTTTGTACGCTTGTAAACAATATAATGAGCTGCCACTGGAATAATTTTAACAGCTGTCGGACGAGTGGCTTAGAACAGACAGCAGTCTGAAATTTGTTGCAGTTTTTTCATCTCACCCTGAATGTATAAAATTATTATTAGTAGTTTATTAGAAGTAGTAGTTCCTTCTTGGTTTAAAAATTTTTTAAGGGCGCCTAAAAGTATGCCATAAAATTACAAACACGAATATGCTGTTTCAACTATTTCTTATTATATATTCGAATTTCACACTCACATGCTCCACATTGATTTCGCCCTTGTACATAAACTCAATCAGACACTTGATATCGGCAAACGAGATATCCTTCATAATTATAATTGGATCTCGTTCGCTGGCATAATTTGTGAGCACCGTGTCGAAGAATGTACTGCAGGCGCACAGGACGACTCGATGGGCCCGTATCAGTTGACCCTCACACGCCAAGGTGACATCACAGAAACAGCCACGATCCAGCAGCTGTGAAAACATTGTTTGCAGGTTGCTGTGGTGGTATTTCCACCGCAAACAATACTGTTGCGGCAACATGTTGTACAACACTGGTCGATGATGATGGTCGGCGGCTGATGGCTGACTACTTCCTGTTGCCCCTGTGTGTGGGCTGTGTATGAGGCGAGAGGGGTTGGTTGGATGGATGTGTCCACTCTCTTGTGTTGTGTTCCGAGGGTTGAGGATTTAAATCAATTTAATCTGAAATGAGAGAAGGAGGAGGAAAAAAACCAACGAAATGGTCTTTAATAAAAATATGTAAAATTTTATGGTTTCTTAGAAAAGAAGAGAGAAAAAATATGGTAATCCCTTACAAGGAAATAGGGTTGACCATTATTTTATTTTCCCATTTTTTTCTTGGAGGGAAAATGTGCAACAGCAACAACAAATAGTTAAGATTCCAAATAATTTATAAAAAAAACTCTGTTTAAATAAAGATAAATAACCTGGTTCTATTCGGGGAGAGGAGGGGGTGGTGAGTAGGGTTGCCAGCCAATGGGGATTTTATGAACTCTACCAAAATAATTTCTTAAAGAATAGTTTACACATCATGTCGTATTTAAAGTGATTTTCTCACATTTATATTTAGCATTTTCATAGCATACCGTTAGGCGTTTTACACATTTTTTTAACTAAATAGAAACGGGAGGATGTTGTTATTATTGTACATCTTTAAAGTCAAACTGCATTTGAAAAAAAAAAAAACTACGATGCTCGAAGTTTATATTTGGTACGATATTCCTTTCGGGTGTAGCACAGACAGGTGGACGCATTTTTGACTTATTATTCCCTACAGAAACACAATATATATAAATAAAAATTTGTAAGTTCGGCCGGGCCGAACTTTAAATTCCCTCCACCATTTGGAACGAATTCGGGAGTTTTCAAAAAAAAAAAAAAAAAACTGCTAAAAATTCTGTTAAAATCTTTAAAATACCAAATGTAGCCTTTAAATTAGGGTCTATACGACGAAGTGGACCTACATAGGCAACTTTTGTCAATTGGTCATTACAATATTCAAATGCGAAACTTGAAAAAAAATATTCGGTGAATAATGTAGCTAAAATCATCAAAATACCGAATATCGGGAAGTACCCTTCTATGAAGGCTATACGAAGACGTGGATCTGTAGGCTGTAGTATCCATTACGAACTTCAAATACCAAATTTGAAACAATTCCGATGAATAATGTCGCTAAAATTATCAAAATGCCGAATATCGGGAGGTGCCGTTATATGGGGGCTATATGAAGACGTGGATCTGTACAGACAATTTTCTGTCATAGGCTGAAGTATCCACTACGAACTTCAAATACCAAATTTGAAAAAACTGCGGTGAATAATGTCGCTAAAATTATCAAAATGCCGAATATCGGGAAGTACCCTTCTATGAAGGCTATACGAAGACGTGGATCTGTACAGACAATTTTCTGTCATAGGCTGTAGTATCCATTACGAACTTCAAATACCAAATTTGAAACATCTGCGGTGAATAATATCGCTAAAATCATCAAAATGCCGAATATCGGAAGGTATTATTATATGGGGGGCTATACCAAAACGTGGACCTACATGACCCATTTTCAATACCAAAAGTCCTGCAGATATAGTACACATTTGAGTAAAATTTTATCAACCTACTTCATTTCGTTCGGAAGCTAGAATCGGACGAATTGACTGACTTAACGATTCATCAACGCCCAGACGAAACGGCTGAAGCTAGAATCTTGAAGTTTTGGGGTGAAGTCAGTCTTGGTCCGAAGGGATCAGATAAGGCTGGAATTTTGGAAATTCGTAATAGAAAATATTAAAAGGTACTAAATATGAAACCATTTGTATTTGAGGTAGCCGTAGAAATAGATCGCTTAAATTTGGAGGGTCACTAATGGAGTGTATGACAGATGTACCAAAGAGTTTTTGGAAATACGCACTACAGGGTGAGATGAAAAACTGCAACAAAGTCAAACGCCATAATTTTTAAATTTTTTTTTTCAATTTTATTGAAAAAAAAAAACCAAAAAATGTCGGAAAAGCCTCAAATCTCTCCACTAATAAACTAACGTTGTTTTTATAAAAACAACAAAAAAAGGGATAAAGCCTGACCATTTTGCAACAACAAAAGCCTCAAACTTTAGAATACGTTTAGATTTATACGAATTGGTCACCTTTGGCACGAATTATGGCCTTCAAACGGCCAATGAAACCGTCACATGCCGCCCAAATGTTGCTCTGCGGTATTTTGGCCCATTTCCGGTGAAGCGCTTGCTTGAGGTGCCCGACACTTTGGTATTTTTTAGAGCCAACCTTGCTTTCCAAAATACTTCAGACACAATAGTGCAACGGATTGGTATCCGAAGATTTTGGTGGCCATTGTGGGCTGGAAAAGAAGCTCATTTTGTAACCATTCTTGGGTGACGCGTGCTGAGTCCTGTTGGAATGTCCAAGGTCTGTGGCCAAAATGTTTGCGTGCCCAAGACTTTAAACACCCTCCAAAATATTTTCGCGATAATATTCGGCATTTATTCTGATGCCACGGTCGATCAACACGAGCGGAGAGCGATCATCAGCTGTTATGGCGGTCCAGACCATCACCATGGCCGGCGCTTGAGTTCTGGTAGCCAACCGAAAGTGCACATTTTCAGCTGACCTCTTTGGCAAGTAAACACGATCATTTTGTTTGGTTAAAAACGGCTGGACAACGAATGATTTCTCATCGGAGAAAACCAAATTCGGCAGTTCACTTCATTCGGCCAAGCGAAGCAACTCCTTAGCTCTTTTGAGTCTATTTTCTTTCTGTTGCGGTGTAAGTTTTTGCACTTTCTGAGATTTCAATGGGTAAAGCGAGCTCATTTTTCAATATTTGCCGAATGGAATATTGCGATATGTTCAGCTCACGAGCCATTTTTCGGCCACTGCGACACGGGTTTCGATCAAGTCGCTCCTTTACGTTTCGAACCATTTCTGCTGATGTTGCTGTTTTCTATCGTTCACTTCCTTGACTTCCTTGTCGGGCTACGCTACCAGTAACACGTTAACGAGCGATGGTACGAGACACAAAAGATTTATTCCCATTTAAATGCTGGAAGTGCGCTAACGATAGCCAACTGTGGTTTTCCAGTCAAATATAAAGAAATCACACTATCCCGCTTGAATTCCATCACGAATAACTTTTTTTCTGGAAAATTCTCACCTAAATGCTTTTGTACGCTTGAAAACAATATAATGAGCTGTCACTGGAATAATTTTAATAGCTGTCGGACGAGTGGCTAAGAACAGATAGCAGTCTGAAGTTGGTTGCAGTTTTTTATCCCACCCTCTATGTGTACAAAATGATACTAAATTTAGTACAATTTAAACCAATAGCGATGGAATTCGGAAATTTAAAAATAATAAGATTGCATTGTAGGACTGAAGAATGTAGGTAGTTTTGGAAATTCGTACTAAATGGTACTAAATTTAGTACAATTAAAATTTGTGTGTGAACCGATAGAGATGGAGTCCTGAAATAGGAAATTAAGATTTCTATTGGACTGTATGATGTTGGTATCTGAAATTGACATATGGAGGTGATTTTGGAAATGCGTCCTAAGTGTGCGAACTTTACTAAAAGGTACAAAATTTGGAACAATTTATTTTAGGGTGGACGGATGAAGCTGAAATTTTGAAATTTTGTATTGGGGTAGGTTTGTGATAAAGAGGGTAGGTGCTGGATTGTGCTAAAGAGGTGGTTTTATAAATGTGTACTACAAGTGCACGAAAAGTACTAAATAGTACTAATAGTACTTATAATTGTACCAGTTGGTAATTTAGATATTGGATGCCTAAAATTTAGTATTAGGATCGCTATCGCCTTGGTTTCAGAAATGTGTACTATAATTGTACGAAAAGTACTATATTTGGAATAGGCTGAAGGAATAGAGATAAAATTCTGAATTTTGATATTTAGATTACTTATGGTATTTGTGTTTGAGATTCGACGATGGTTTGAAAATGCGTTCTATATTTGTACGAAAAGTACTAAATGGTACTAAATTTAGTATTGGGTGAAAGGTAAGGTCTGTAATCCTCAAATTTGATATTCTGGTCCCTGTTGGTATCTGAAATTAAGATATGGTGGTGGGTTTGCAAATGTGTACTAAAATTGTTTTGAAATTACTAAATGGTACTAAATTGGGTATTGGGTGAAGGAATAGAATCTTATAATATACTTATAACAAGAGAACAGTTTCATATAACGAAAATTAAATCCGACCAATTTAAAAAAAAAATCCCCACAACTTCTCTCATGAACCACCCCTCTTTAACAAACACACACACATATATACTCCCCTCCACCACATCGATGACATGTTACCTCAAAAGCAACAAATCCCATTTTTCCCTTGTTTTTTTTTTCAATTTTTTCTTGCGAAAAAGGGCCAAGGGTTCCTTTTTGTCCATTTTCTTGGTAATAAATTGAAAATATTTTCCTTTTTCGTTCATTTCCTTAAAAGCCAAATGGTATTAGACATGGTTTTGCATTTTTTTCTTGGTTTCAAAAAAAAGGGGTTTCTTGGCAATTTCCTTCTTGGCTATTATTTTTTTTTCTATCTTTTTTTTTTTTTTTTGGAAAAACTAACTGACCACTTTGCTTTAACCCTTATGTCCGCCCATGGTCTTATACCTTTTTTTCCCAACCGAAACTTTATTTATTCCCCATTTTTTAATACTTTTTTTCTTGTGATTTTCATCCTCTTCTCTTGGGGGGTAGGTGGGATCGCAAAAAAAAGGACACTCACCCCCCACCCCAGCTCGACTCGGCCAGTTACCCTCTTTATGTTTTTTTCAGTTGTGAGTTTTTCCTGCTGCCAAAATGAAAAATAATAAAAAAAAATGTTTTTCCTTTGAAATGGAAAAAAGAGGGAAGGGGGGGGGGGATGGTGGAAATTCCATCATAAAATTTCAACATTTTTATTTTTTCTGGGGATAATGGCGTGTAAAAAAAACCAACCTTTTTTTCAGGTTGAGTTTTTTCCGACTTGATTTTTATACTGCCTGGGTTCTTTTTTTCGTTGATGGCATCGAGAAAAATTTCCAGAGTTTTCTCGTTAAAAATATAAAATATACGACATAAAAAATAAATGATAAGCCTTTTTTTCGATGTTGAGTTGAAACAAAAGAGGGAGAACTGTAAAAAAATGAAAATAAAGTTTTTATTTAGTT